CACGACGTCGGCGGCTTGGACACCAGTCCATGGGCGTCGAGATGGCAACTGCGCTGGGCTGGGCTTCTCGTCCTTGTCGGCGGCGGCCGTGTGATGCATGTCATGCTGGGCATGGTGGTGGTGGTGCTGGACGGTCTCGAGCGAGAAGACGGCGTCCCAGGTCGACGCGCGCGACCGCGAGGAGATGGCCGAGCGCACCGAGTGGGCCGACCAGTAGTCGCCGCCTGGGTACGTCTGCGTCGTCGCGGGGTGGTCCATGCTGCTGCTGCTGTCGCGACCGGCGGGCAGACGAGGTGTTCAGAGGAATAAATAATTCAATGTGCGTCGCAAGTCGCTGGAAGTGGTGATACCTCTATCTTTCGATATAATATGAAAAGACAGAGGTTTTGACGCCAACCTCGCGACATACACAACCGGGCAGTGGCGTCAATGCAGCACATGTCGCCGCTAGGTGGTCGGCGCCGTCGCCACCTGGTCCAGCACTCAAGCCCCAAGTTCAAGGTGACGCCAGGCCCGACCAAGACCGTGCATTCATTCGCCCATATGAGCGTTTTCCTGCGTGCTTGGGACAGCACCCACTGCATCCGAGGAGCTGGTTCTTCGAAGCAAGGTCGTCAGTGAAGAAGCCAGCACGTCAATCTGGCCCGCTGCAGTATGTATTGGCCAACGCCTCGCCTCGCAAAGAAGAGGCGCCACTTGGTGACGCCAGCCAGGACTGCGAAAAACGAGCATCACTCGTCGCAGCAGCGTGCTGCTGCTGCTGATCATGACGGTCGTCGTCGTCGGTCGAAGGGACATGCAAGAATGGCATTTTGCATGCAGCATATATCTACCATACACTGTATCTGGTGTTGCGACGGCGCCTTGTACTGTGTAGTGTGAGTGCCATGTCAGATCCAATGCAATGGTCAGCGATGGTCGACGCACGCCAGGCGGCTTGTTGGGTGCTACGAGGGAAAATCGTAAGAAACGCTGGACCGACGACCGAGACGAGAGAGCGAGCGACTCATGTCCTGAAGCGCCACGACATAAAAGCATTTTCGCACCAATTGTTGTGAGGGAATTTTCCGTTGCACCAATCCCTGCGAAGGAAAACGCAAACACGACAAACGATTGGCTACGGCAATAGAGACGAGGACAAGCAAGAGGATGACCAGCGTCGCCGAGCACGCGTGGCGCCACGACTGGGACGCCGTGCGACGCTGCGTCGAGGCCGGCGCTGACGTCAACGCACCCTTTGTACGTACATGCAAATGTGCATGCGGCTCATGGAGCCTAGTTTGGCAAGACGGCGCTGCACTGGGCGGCGTACCACGGCGAGAACGCGACGCTTGCCGCGCTTGCTGCCGCGCCCGCGATTGAGATTGATGCGCGCGACCTCGAGGTACCATGGTGCTGCTAGCGACAGTGACGCGACGAGAATTAGAATGCCTGCACGGCGCTGCACTGGGCCGTGCTCAAGAGCAACCTCGAGGCTGTCAATGTCCTCCTCGCCGCCAACGCCAACGCGCACGCCGTGACGCAGGTGCGTGGCCTCTCCATGCATACCCAGCGCGTGCTGACGTAGGGTACGTAGGACGGCCAAACGCCGCTGCAGCTCGCGATCGCTACCAATGCGCACGCGATCGCCGACCGCCTCCAAGAGGCCATGCACACGCTACCGGTTCATCACCCCGCGATGCGGTCCTTGATCGATAGACGTTGTACGCTAGGCCAAAGACGCGCTCGACGGAAAAGGCAGCGCGCGGCTCAGCTTTATCCGCACGGGCGACGTCGCCCGTGTCCACGAATGGCTCGCGCAGGCCGCCGACATCGAGAGCCGCGACGACGTAGGATACGCCACTGCGCGCACGACTGCGTTCTTAGCGCAAGGTGACACCACTGATGCTCGCGGCTGCGGGCGGTCACCACACGATCGTCGAACTTCTTTTGGAGCGGGACCCGGACGTTGACGCTACGGACGCGGTACTATACAAGTGTCGCCGTTGTCTGATGCGAATGGCCCTTAGATGGGCCGGACCGCGCTCATGTACGCAGCGCTGAGCGGCCACCCGATCATCCTGGACATGCTCCTCGGCCACTTTGCCGATATGGACGTGGTCGACAATGTATCAACTAATCACCTGATGAGGAAACCGACAAGACAGGATTCATCACTGTAGGACGGCGCCTCGGTGCAGCTGCTCTTGCACGCGCAGCTCTCGGACAAGAGCCACGCGGCGTCGGAGCTCGCGCGATTCCAGCGCTGCCTCTCGACGCTGCAAAAAGAGGCTCAGTACCGAGAGACATCGACCGCCTACCGCATGAAGGTCCGCGCGTCGATCCTCAAGCGCATGGAACAAGGGTTTCTCGTGCCGTTTGCTTTTACAACGTACTAGTATGCGCTATGGTAGGTTTGATGCATCTGTCTTCAAGATGGCAGTGCACTGCGACCCGTCGCTGGGCCGGTGGTGCCTCAACCATGCCCTTATCGTGGACCGTCACGCCATGAGCTTTCACGAGGTCTGCCCTGCTGCTATTATGTGTTGGAAAGCTATAATCATCCTATAAACCTAGCTCGAAAAGATCTATGGCACCCGTGGGGTCAAGAAAAGCCCGTTGTACACGCTGCTGCATCTGCCGAGCGACGAAGCGTACGAAGCCCAACGCATTTGCTTGGACCATATTGTCATGCGGCGCGTGCTCGATCTCAAGTGGGAGGTACACTATTACACGTCGATGTCGTCCCTACACGCGGTGACGAAATGCTAGCTGTTTGGTCAACGCATGTTTATTGAACGCGTCCTCATGTACGGACTCTTTGTGACGACCATGACCATCTCTGCCTCGCTCGGTATGGTCTTTCCTTCCATGCGTCAGGATACTGATCAAGGTTATGATGATGGGTAGACGAGTCGCACCGGACGGAGTCAGACGCGATCCTATCGTTTTCCGTTGTGAATTGGGCCGTCGTCGTGCTCTTCCTCGTCTGCGGCTGGCTCGGCGCCCAGGCCCTCCGCCCGTCGATGCTCTGGCGTCTCGCCCGGTACAGACGTCGCGCGCGATCGTGCTTGACCCTGCTGCGTCGTAGATACTTCGTTGACGGCCGCTGGACGGCGTACGATGGGCTCGTGCAAGTGACCGCGTCCGACAAGCGCAAGGCCAAATGGTGAGAACCTCGTATATGCATGGTTGTCTCCATTGGACTATGGACTCTTCTAGGCTCATCCTCGTCTCGACGGTGAGCGTCGCAGTCGCTGGCTGTGTTCCATCGTGCTGGTTCCTCCTACAACTCAACCTCGACGAGTGGTCAGACATTTGTGTTTCGAGATGGTGATGATGTTGAAGTCGTGTAGGTTCTGGCCGTTCAAGATCGTCAACCTCACGCTGCTCTTTTGCACGGCCTTGTACTTTCTCAGCACCGAGCTCCGCGAGCTGCGCGGCGACACGGCGGCCCTGCGTACGTCACGCGATTTGTTTTTAGGAGGATGGACAATAGTGTCATCATCTTGTAGTTGACCCGACGGACAAGAGTGGTCAGCGCGTCCGCTGGTCGTCGTCGACGTACCTCACGTCGTTTGTCAACTGGTACCGCCTCGTGGTCTACTTGATCATCGCGATTGGCTATGTGCCGTGGGAAATCGGCGCGTACGAAGCGAACGTGCCGACGTTCTGGCACGTTTGTCTAAGCACGTTTCTGTCACTCTCGCTGTGGGTACTCTCGCTCGAGGTATCGATCCAACTATCCAACAACTATCCTGTATCCAGGATGAATCCACGGTAGTTTTTACAAGTGCATCCAACGACCGGCTACCTCTTGCCTATGATCCGGGGCCTCCTCATTGACGTCGGCAACTTCATTTTGCTCTACGGCGTCTTGCAATGGGGGCTTTCGTGTGCCTACCTCCACATTGTGCAGCACGAACCAGGTAGGCTTGCTCTTTTGTCGTCCTTTTTTATAAAAATAAGTGTGGAAATTATTGTCTTCTTAGACGCCACGGGGTTTGGCATTTGGTTTCGCGCGTTTACGTTTGCGTATTTTGTGCTCTTTGGGGAATTTCGACTCGACGAAAACTTCAAGTCGGACGACAGCGTGCTCTTGACATTCTTCCGCATTCTCGCGCAGATCCAAGCCGCCATCGCGTCCGTCTTGCTCATGAACATGCTCATCGCGATGATGAACAAGCGCGTAGGCTTTCCCTCCATGCGTGCAGGCCCACGGTGCATGTTAGGTGCTCGAAGGCCTCGAGAAGGCCAAAATTCAAGCCCTCGCCAGCTACGCCAACTGCATCCTTCGGTACTTGTGATTTGTTTTTCTACAAGGAGGCTAACCATGTGCCTATAACGAGGCTGGAAATGGCCATGTCGCCGTCGACGCAGACCAAGGTCATGCACCTCGCCGATGTCGACGGACACGAGTGCTTGAACCCGCTCTTCTTTACGCCTCTAGCCCGAACCGAGGTCGGCCCGCGCACCTGTGACGGCGTCGTACGACGATGGCGTAGGTGGCGCTGAGCCCTGACGATTTGGTCACACTCGACACGTTAAAAACGCACCAGCTGTCGTGGCGCCGGGTCCTCGAGAGCCTCCAGTCGCTGCTGCTGGAAGAGCTCGAGACGCCTCTTCTGGGTACGAAAAGCAATCAGCGAGGTACTACTACATATGTGGTGTGATGTATTAGAGACGTGCGAGCAGCAACTGACAGCGCAGTTCAGCCTCTTCCTGCACAAGCCGCATGTGAATCTGCTCAGCGCGCCGCGCCTCTTGGCGCAGCTGGTCCTCTCGCTCTCGGCGATCCTCTCGACCGTCGACGGGCTGCGTCCGCACCACATGGCGCACCTCGAGCAGCACGTCTGGCCCGCGTTTCAGGCGGTACGACACTCGTTACGGCGATGCGCGCGACTGACGACTATGGTTGTAGAAGGGTGCGCAGCTGGCGGCGACGGCCCGCGACGCCTTGAACTACGAGGCGGCGACTGGCCACTTGGCCGTGGAGCGGCAGCTGCGAGCGATGGACGAGCGCCATCAGCGGCAGCTCGAGGCGCAGCAAGCCGTCTTTGCGGAACAGCTCCAGACGCAGCGGCTTGCGACTGACGCGCAGCTGATGGCGATGGAGAGACGGTAAGGCGCGGGGCATTCCCTCAGTCCGTGCATGAACTCGCAACCATGGTGCGAATGAATTAGACTCGCGGCGCTGATCCAGAGTTTGCGTCCGTCGTGACGAGATGGCCTTTCTGGCCGAGTACAGTATTTCACGACATGAATGCACTTGAAGAATAGTGTGCTGTGAAAAACATAGGTAGTGTGCCTCGACGGAAAATGGTGTACGCCGGAATCTCCTGTGCGATGGCATTAAAAACGCACGTCTTTTTGTTTGTCGGATTGGATATCTATATCGTTGTATACCATTAAATAAATGGTTTGAAAATAAAATAAATGAATTGAAAGCCGCCAGCGCGATCTATCGAAGTGGCAGTTGTGTGGCAGCCGCACCGGAGCCGAGCATGGACATCCAGCACGATGGCCATGGCGACGAGAGCGACCCGATGGAGATCATGGTCGTCGCGCTCAGCATGGATGCGACCGAGATGTACACGCGCTACCGGCTGCAGGAGACGCTGGCCTTGATGGGCTGCCGGACCAAGGACGCGGTCGACGTGACGGCCAGCATCTTTGAGGCGTACCACGCCTTTGGCGTCGGCGCCACGAGCCACTGGCCGTTCGAGAGCCTTCAGCACGAGGTCTACGCGCAGCTCGCCAAGCTCGACTACACCAAGACGTCGCAGCTCCTCGACTTTGACATTGCCAAGGAGATTACGCAGCGAAACAAGTCGTTTGTCGTGCTCCTCGGTGGCACCTCGGGCACTGGCAAGTCGACGCTCGCGTCGCTGCTCGCGTCGCGCCTGCGCCTCACCACGGTATACGCTTGCAGCACCGGTGCATCGTCCTGCAACGCGCTTGGTGGTGATCTAGGTCTTGCCGACCGACTCGGTCCGGCACATCTCGCGGGCCTTCTTGACGAAAGAGTCGCACCCGTGCGCGTTCATGTCGACGTACCAGGCCGGCGAAGCGCTCACGCCCGACCAAGTCGACGAGCTCAAAAAGGTCATGCAACATCGTCGGTCCTACCTCGTGACATCCATGACGCGTAGATTGCAGCGGGCGACGTCAACACCATCATGTCGGAGAACCGCCTCCAGAAGCGCAAGGTGCTCAAAGGCTACAAGCTCCAGGCCGACGCCGTCCTCGAGAAGCTCGACCTTGTCCTAACGATGTTTGAGAAGCGCAAGCAAAGCCTTGTTGTCGAAGGTACAACCTCCCCTTTTTCTGCTGCTTGACTTCGTGGTTTTTATACACACTGGCTCGATACTTGATACCGACTTGATATTTACACTCCGTGGCATGTAGGCGTGCACCTCAACACGGAGCAAATGGTCGAGCTTGTCCGGCGGCATCCCAACTGCGTGCCATTTGTGATCTACATCTCCAACGAGATGAAGCACCGCGAGCGGTAGCATGCGATCCGCCTATCGTCTTTGGCGCTTATTCGCATGATCGTGTAGCTTTGCGGTGCGGGCACGACACATGACGATCGATCCGCAAGAGAACAAGTACATCAAGTACTTTGACAACATTCGCATCATCCAGCGCCACCTCTGCAAGAACGCGGATACGTACTTGATCCCGAAGATTGACAACACCAACGTGGATCGGTCGTTGGTGACGATCCAGTCGACGCTGGTCCGCGTCTTGCGCAAGATGCTGCGCGGTACGATCCCTCGCTGCTATCACACATGATACGATCCAGAGTCGATCGATCTCGTAGGCGACAGCATGGTCGATGAGAAGACCGGCAAGTTTGTCTTGCTTTCGCGGGAGCACGAGAGCGCCATCAAGAAGGCGTGGTCGAGCAAGGGCGTCCGGAAGGCGATGCGGCCGCTCACCAACCAAAAGGTCTCGAAGCGGCTCTTGCTGCGCCGTCTCTTGGCCGAGCAGCAGTCGAACCACCACGTCGGGCCCGACAGCTCGTCGAGCGACGAAGAGAGCGGGGACCACCGCCCCAGCCGCCATGACGACGACGACGAGGAGCAAACGACCGTGGTCGGCAGTCTCTTGAGCTTTCGCGACAGCGCCAAAGTCCGCTCCGACGGCGACGACGTATAGGCTGTGGCAACCGCGAGTGCTGACGTCATTCTTGTTGTCGCCTAGGATGACAAGACGTTGTCGACTACGATCCAGCAAATGGCGCTCTGGCGCGCGAGCCAGCCCAAGCCGCTCGCGTTGAACGGTACCACCTTATTCGGTCGGTTTGTATCAACGTATCAACCATCGACGGGTGCTAGACACGGCCGTCGGCGACGACGGCGTCGACCCGGAAATGACGTTTGAAAACTTCCACTTGGCCGACATGAAGCAGCGCTGGCGCCACAAGGAGCGCACGCGGTCGTGGTTTGGGTCGCCGTCGCAAGCCATCGAGAAGCAACGCTCGTTGACGCTCGACAAGGGTACTGTCGTCGTTGTTGGGTGCGATGACGGACTTGTGCCAGGCCCACTGAGTGCGATTCACTCGGGCACTCGACGCCCCGCGACCAAGGTCCGTCCGTCCTCGGCGAGCCCGAAGAAGCGCGACTCGCTCCGGCACAAGGCCGTGCGCCTCGGCGAGAAAGGGCCGCGGCCCATGTCGGCGCGCCGCCTCTCGTCGTCTCAAGGTACCCACCGTGCTTTTTCGGTCGCGGCCACGCACGTGTTTTGTAGATTTGGATTTGGATTTCGACTCGGTCTCGGTCTCGGATCTGGACCGGCAAGATTGCATCTCCGAGTCGTCGTCGCACGCCGAGAACTGCACGTCGCCGCTTGCGTCGCCGACCCGCAGCATTGGCGAAATGGACTACGCCGTGAGCTCGGGCAGCGACGACGACGACGACGACGACGACAACGACGGCAACGGGGTCGTCGGCTTTGCGCTGCCGCCCGTCCCGGCGTTTGCACCGGTGCCGCCATCTCCGAGCTGCCCACCTTCTGCGATTCGCCCGGCGCCGTAGACGGCTTCAATGACGCGTCGTCGTCGTGACAAGCGCACGAATACACTTGCATGCATAATATCGTGTGTTTCGTAGCAACGTTCTATCAACGTATCAACCGTCGCGTCGGCGGTCGTAGCAGCGTTTCTTGTCGACGTCGGCGGCTAGTACGCCTTGGGGTGGCGAGCCTTGCCACGGTGGCGCTGCTTCCACCACACTAGAGTTCTCACTCGAATTGCGCTGCAAGAGAGAGAGTGCTGTACCATGGAGCGGCGTCGCATAGGGCGACTTTTGGTCGAAGAGAAGCTGGTACTTGAGGAACGAGAAGGCGTACGCACCAAGGAATGAGATGCCGACGCCGAGGACGTGCCACGCGTCGGTGACGGCGTCGTGGAAGAAGAGAAAGCCGAGGCCGGTCGACGCGAGGTCCTTGATGTTGCCCGTGACTGACGTGGCGAGCGCCGACGTCTTGGTCTACAAGGCCATACGATAGTGGATGAGATCCCCTTCTTGTCGTCGTCGTCGTACGGTGCAGAGCTGGATGGCCACTTGGTACAGCAGACAGACGCTGCTCATGAGCAGAAAGAGACTCGCAAACGAGAGCGGATGCGCCAAAGTCGATGCAAATGCGTGGACGGTCGACGCCTCGTAAGCCAATGCGAGGGGCGTCAAGAGACAGGCGCCGACGACGCTGTTGGTCCAGACCACGAGCAGAGGCGACAGCGTCGACTGCTTGGAGAGCACGAGCGACGCGGCGGTCATGCAGTTTTGAGCAACCACAAGGACGTAGCCGGGTAGATCGGAGGACGCGTCGTGGTAGCCGGCGAGGAGGCTGCCGAGCGCTGTGACTACTCGGCCTCGATGAGGAATGACGCGCCTGTATGGTCGTCGGCGTACCGAGAAGCGCGGCCTTCATCGCATCCGGGATCACCTAGGGCGATAGTACGAGGAAGAGACTACTCTTGCGGCTTGCTTTCCGAGACCTACCTTCTTGAGCACGACAATCTCCATGAAGAGGACCTTGAGCGTCGTGAGGCGGCGCAGCACGAGGTACCTATGCGCCAGATGCATGCGACGCGATGTATACGAGGCCGGTACATGGGCATGTTGACGAGGCGCATGCACACAAAGGCCGTCGTCGTGTTGACGGACTGCAGCGTCGCAAGCGGCGCGACCTCGTAGAGCCACACACGCCACGTGAGCGTGGCAACGGCCAGTGGCAGGACGCGGGTCGCATGCAGGAGGAGCAGCACGGAGACGGTAAAGACGTGTTGCAGCGCAGCGAGCGAGAGGACTGCGCGCCAGCCGTACGAGGTCAATATCGTCTTGGTCAGCACGTTCATGCTCATCGAGCACACAAGGTACAAGGCGCAGGGCCACAGCGCGGCCACGAGCCGCCGGACGCGGTGCATCGAAAGAAATCCGCCGCTTTTGATTGGCTCGTTGCGGCCACCATATCTTGAGCGCCCTTTCATGATAGGCATATTCATATTCCATATTCCATATTCAATATTTCGTGCGGCTTGAGACACAATATCCGGATACGAGGCAATATCAATATATTTGTGGTCATATCCAGACAAGCAGGAAGACAGCGATGGACCTCCTGGACGAACTCGATGCGCTGCTCGCGGAAGAGCGATCGACGCAGCAGGACGCGCGCCCGTGGGCGCAATGCTTGAGCGGTCATGCGCCGCTGGGCCCCGCTCCTGCATCCTGCAGGCTCGGGCGGCGTCGCACCCGGTGCTCCTGCCGTTCCCGCTCGTGTCGTCATCGCCGCTGCCGGTACTGATACATGCGATGACCTGTAACCCAGAGCGCTAAACTTTACGGCGCAGGCGACGGACGATGACGAAGCGCCGCTGGATCCGCTGGCGAGTGCGCTCGCGAGCGAGCAAGCCCCTCGCGTGTGGCCAGCCAACCCGAGCCGCTTGCTGGTCGAAGTCCCGCTCTCGCTGCACCGCGCCGATATTACGCCCGTCACGTCGCGCATGGTAGCAAACGTCCTTGATCAATATGAGCGGAGGATCTTAGATGCATGCAGGTGCTCGAGCCGACGAACCTCACGTACGCCTTCGGCCGCGTCGTGCACGACGAACGGTACAACGTCATGATGAAGCTTCCAGGGGTCTCATGACGACGACGATTAGCTCGATGGCCGAGACGTCCAACTCGATGCTGCGCAAGCCGACGCACCTGCAAGAGTACGCGCGCGGCAAGATCGGCAACGTCCCATTCGCGCCCGGCGGCGAGTCGCTCATGAAGTCGACGACGGCGCCGACGTCGACGGACGCTGCGATCGCCGACGAGGCCTCGATGCTCAAAAGCGCAATGGCCAGCGAGATGCTCGACCTCGCGCAGCGTGCGCTGGCGGCGGGCAGCAGCAGTACCAACGCCTCGGTACGTTCTCGTGATGATGATAGACATATATTCCATGGACATGCACGAGTCTCTTCTTGGGCGTAGGCGGACTGGAGCAGCCTGCTTGTCGACGCGCCGGGGCTGACGCACGGCTTGACGCGCGAGGACATTGCCCGCCTCACGCGTGGCGCGTCACCGGGTGATGTGGTACGTCTTCATGGCGTTGCCAGACATGATCGATGGAGACTATTGTCTAGGCGGTGACTACCGCGCCCGCGGCCGTCACGGTGGGCGTCAACCCGACCGATCTCTTGCAGCCGTACTACGCGGTCATCTCGGACGACGAGTCGATGAAGGCGCTGCAGCGATCGATCGCCGATGAAAAAGCCGTCTTGGGTACTCAATACGCTTCTGCGACGCGTGTCTTATACTCTGTGCTTGAGCAGCCATGACATCCAACACGCTTTCGATCCAGAGCTTGCTGACAGACAATGACGACGACGAGGACATGGACGTTCTCGACGCCGTCGACCCGGCAGACGTCGTGCAAGAGGCGCCGGCAGCGACGCGGTCCTTGGTGCGTCTCTTCGGCATGTCGCTCGGGTGCGTGACGAGAGGCGATGCTCTGTAGGCGTTTGCGGCGGCAAGTGGCAGCGACGCGACGGTCGAAGATGCGGACGTGGATGTGACGCTGGACGCCGTCATGACGTTGATGGACAGTATGGCGACGCCGGCGCCGGCGCCGGTCCTCGAGTGGGCGAGCGCCGAGCCCATTGACGTGTCCAATTTCCACGCCAAGGTGCCCGACATGGCCATGTCGTTTCCGTTCGAGCTCGACTCGTTCCAGAAGCAAGCGGTGGTGCATTTGGAAAACCACGACTGCGTCTTTATCGCAGCCCACACGTCGGCGGGCAAAACGGTACGGCAACTGCTCTAGTCCAACACGATGATCGTATCGTTATCTTGTTTATTAGGTGGTCGCGGAATATGCGATCGCCATGTCGCAAAAGCACATGACGCGCACGATCTACACGTCGCCGATCAAGGCACTCTCGAACCAAAAGTACCGTGATTTTCGCACGAAATTCGGCGTCGACAACGTCGGCTTGATCACGGGCGACGTCTCGATCAACCCGCAAGCGAGCTGCCTCGTCATGACGACCGAGATTCTCCGGTATTTTGATTTTTTAAAAATACGTATCAACTTGATACGTCGATGATAGATCCATGCTCTACCGTGGCGCCGATGTGATTCGCGACATTGAGTGGGTCATTTTCGATGAGATTCACTACCTCAACGACTCGGAGCGCGGCGTTGTGTGGGAAGAGGTATATCAATCTATCAATCTTTCAAATCAAACATATTGGTGTAGGTCATCATCATGCTGCCCGAGCACGTCTCGATGGTCTTCTTGTCGGCGACGACGCCCAACACCTTTGAGTTCTCCGACTGGATTGGCCGTACCAAGCAGAAAAAATCCACGTCATCTCGACGCACAAACGCCCGATTCCGCTCTCGCACCACCTCTATGGTACATAGATATGGATGCCGTCGTATGGACGGACATATGCATGTTGGAATGCGTAGCGGCCGGCGAGGTGCTCACCGTGATGGACCCCCAAGGCCAATTTCTCTCGACCAACTACTCGGCCGCGGTCCAGCGTCTCAAGCCCAAAGAGTCCAAGACAGGTCCTGGCCGTGGCAGTGGCGGGCGTGGCGGTGGCGGCGGGCGTGGCGGCGGCGACAAGGCCGACTGGACCAAGCTCATTCGCATCCTTCAGGAAAAGCAGTTGCTGCCCGTCGTGGTGTTTGCGTTCAGCAAGCGCCTTTGCGAAGAATCGGCCCACCGTCTCTCGGGCGTACTCTCTCGTCGTCCTGCTGCTTGATGCTGAGGATTGGATGATGGTGTAGATGGACCTGAGCTCGTCCTCGGAGCGCTCCGAAATCCATCTCTTCTGCAACGCCAGCATTAGCCGCCTCCAGGTACTAGAGAGGAGAGAGCATCATGACGCAGAGAAATCAACATTTGAATTCTAGGGCCTCGACCAGCACTTGCCGCAAGTGCTTCAAGTGCGCGAGATGCTGCTGCGTGGCATTGGCGTGCACCACGGCGGTCTGCTTCCGATTCTCAAGGAGATGGTAATATACACTGGACCTTTTATGATCACGCGGGTTGATACACTGTCTTGGTAGGTTGAAATTCTGTTTGCCCGAGGCTTGGTCAAGGTGCTCTTTTCGACCGAGACGTTTGCCATGGGCGTCAACATGCCCGCGCGCACGGTGTGGCGTTGATAGATTCTTGATACTTTGGCTGATACTCTGCTCATAGGTTGTGTTTAACGGCACGCGCAAGCACGACGGCAAGGCGTTCCGCGACTTGCTGCCGGGCGAGTACACGCAGATGGCGGGGCGTGCGGGTCGTCGTGGCCTCGACACGGTCGGCACCGTCATCATTGCGTGCTGGGGGTAGGTTACCAGTCCATCGTCTTTGTGTTTACTAAACATGGCGGCGTAGTGACGCGCCAGACGCGACGTCGCTCCGTACGATGCTCATGGGCACGCCGACGAAGCTCGAGAGTCAATTCCGGCTCACGTACAACATGATTCTCAACCTCCTCCGCGTCGAAGACATGACGGTCGAGGACATGATCAAGCGATCGTTCTCGGAATTCCGCACGCAAAAGGCGCTGGCGGCCAAGGACATTCCGTCGGCCATCCAAAAAGCCAAAAAGGTACTTTGCCCTCGATTGCTATATTGCTATATTGATATATTGATATATTGATACTAGGCACTGCATGCGCTCGAGGCGGACCTCAACACCACGCATGGCGGCCACCTGGACTTGACCGAAGTCGAGCGCTTCTTCCTCCTCCAGCAGTCGACCAAGTACAAGGAGCAAGCGCTGGTGCACGCGATTTTAAACTCGCGGTATGCTGCAGCCGCGCTCTGCGTCGGTCGCGTCGTTGTGCTCTCGACGACGGGTCTGCCCGACCAGCTCGCCATCCTCCTGCAAGGTATCAAGTCGACGTGTGAGCAATGACAGGTTGATCATAAAAAACGATAGTCGACAAGGCGGCGACGCGGACCGTGACGGTCCTCGCACTGTGCCACGCGTCGTTCTCGCCGCCAGTCGTTGCGGCCAAGCCAAGCGCGATGGATTTCTTCAAGCCCAAAGCGCAAGCGAGTACGTCGACGGGCCTCGCGCCGGGCGCCAAGGGCTCGCTCTTGGGCAAGCACTATGTCGTACTCGACGTGCCGGAAACGTGCCTCAACAAGCTCACCAAGGTATCTGGATACCGTATCGTGATATTACAATCCGATATGTTTTTTGTGTATGTAGCACAAGGCAAGCCCGAACGTCCGGAGCCTCCTCGAAGCCAACGACCCGAGCGTGCTCTCGCGCGCCGTCGAGCTTCTCGTGGACCTCGAGACGTCGCTGCCGCTCTTTCTGAGTCCGCAAAACGATCTCAAGATGATGGAGCTCGAGTCGGCCGACTTGTACAGCCAGGTGCAGCACCAGTACAGCGTCATGGAAGCAAGCCCGTGCTTTGCATCGCCCTTCCTCATGCCCGTTCTCGCCCAGTACGCCAAGGTCCTCCTCTCTCGTTCCGAGCGCATCCCAGAACGAGCATGATGATAGATTGACCGCCTGCGCCACTACATGGCGACGATGACGGCCGCGCTCTCCAACCACTCGCTCTCGCTTTTTCCCGACTTTCAGCAGCGACTTCGCGTGCTCACGCGCCTCGGATACATTGCCTCGGACAACACGGTGCAGGTACGGCTCGATATAAAATGAGGTGGTTGAAAAATCTCATAAAATACATCAATGTGTAGGTCAAGGGCCGGGTCGCGTGCGAGGTCAACACGTGCGAAGAACTCGTGCTCACGGAAATCATTTTTGAAAACGTCCTCGCCGACCTCGAACCCGAAGAAATTGTCGCGGTGCTCTCGGCGCTCATTTTCCAGGAAAAGACCCAGAACCAACCGACGCTGACCCCGCGCTTGCTGCACGCGCAGAGCACCGTGCGACGATGCCAATATTATTATCATGTATGCATCGACATGGATTCTCGGTGTAGGTGCACGCGATCGCAACCTCGCTTGGCGTCATCCAGCTCGAGTGCCACCTCGGTACGCCCTGCGACTTGAAAAGGAGCCTTGGGACTTGATTGTTGATGGTGACAGAAATCGACCCGACGGAATTTGCCAAGACGACGCTCAACTTTGGCTTGATGGAAGTCGTGTACGAGTGGAGCCGCGGTATAGAGACTCGTGCGACAGGACAAGAATGGCTCAACTAGTATTAATGGACTAGGCATGCCGTTCAAGTCGATTTGCGAGCTCACGGACGTGCCCGAGGGCTCGATCGTGCGTTGCATCACGCGTCTTGACGAAGTGTGCCGTGAAGTGCGCAACGCGGCGCGGGTAAGCTATGTTTTGATTTTTGGTGTTTTTTTGTATATATTTGCATGGTTTCTGTATTTTTCCGTCGACATGATGACAATATTGACGCACTCTTTGAATTAGGTGATTGGCGATCCGCGCTTGTACCGCAAGATGGAGATTGCGTCCGAGTCGATCAAGCGCGACGTGGTGTTTGCGGGCAGCTTGTACCTGTCCTAGTCGGCTTTGTATCAAGTTCGTATCAAGTGCGACAGCACCACGACGAGATGGACGACGATATTAAATAGTTATGAGACACGGAGAGTATCGACTAGACGTGTCGCGGGCCGGTTTTGGTCTTGAGTGCATAGTCAAAGCTGTCGCTGCTGCCGCCGCGCGTCGACTGCATGATGATGATCGTGTCGTCGCTGGCGATAGACGACGCCATCCCGAGGCTGGGCTCTTCGAGAATGCTGCCTACGCAGTGTTAGCTCCATGAGTGTCGAGGTGTCGAGATGCCTACTGTTGGTGTAGTGGTGCTGCGACGCCATCGAACTCGCTGTCGACGACGTCTTGAGCAACACGTGGCTACTCGTACCCGGCGGTGGCTTGCGACTGGCGATGGACGCGATCGGTCGTGGCGGCTTGCCAGCGCCCATGATGACAAAGTCGTCCGACTCGGAGCTGCCGACAACAACGTGCTCGATCGTCGTCGGGTTGTTGGTGTTGGTGCTCATGGTCGTGAGGTTGAGGTTGGCGTTGTTCGCGTGCAGATGGGCGACGAGCGCTTCGTGGAGGCCCGACCCGTTCTGCTGGCTGGCCTGCAGCACGGCTTCGTCCATGAGGTTCTGCATCGCGTGGCGCTTCTGCTCGAGCCGATACCGGTGCAGCGCCATGAAGCCGAGGAGCCCCAGCAAGATGGCGCCGAGGAGCGCGAGGCAGATGATGAGCAGCGACGAGCCCGAGGACTCGGCGAGGACGCGCCGGGTAGACATGCTGCTGGCGGAAGCGAATTCTTTGTCGACGCTGCCCGCGCGCACAGAGCCAGTCGGTCGGTTGCCTCTTTCGCCGTTTGGCGCTGCAATTGCCGTAGGCAGTACCTTCTTGTCCGGATACACGGGCCCGCGTCTAATTACACGCGACTTACGCAATGGTGTCGGCAACGATGGCCGCCGCATTCGGCGCCTTGCTCTGCACGCATCGGCGGTAGCATTGCCTTGTGCTTGCAATGCTGAAGCATGGAATAGAAGGAGGCGGGACCGCGGCCAAATGGCGATGGCCGTCGAGGAGTGGTTGAAATGGAGTGTTTTTAGAGTGCAGGAGGGCAGGGTGACTCACGCATATCAGCCGGCGTTGGGAACGCGAGTCGAACCGTCCCCGCGTGTCAAGTCGTCTGATCCAGTGGCGCTTCTGAGGAGTCGCTGCAGCAGGTCATCGACACCTCCATGAGCAGCGCGTGTCCGTGGCGCGCTGACGTCGATTCCCGCTGCTAATAGCTACACTTCCATTAGATTGTGGCAATCGACACCCTTGCCGACGAAGGATCTAAGTAGTACAGTGGCTGACCATGGCGGCAGTGTCATGCTGTACAGTCCGTCAAGCGACAACCAGACAAGACAGTGTGTCCATGTACTAGGTTTATATATGGGTTTATATATTATTTTATGTTGCGACAAGGCTTTTGAAAGCAAAAGAAATGCAGCGGCTTTTACACCTCGGGGTGCACGTACTGCACGTGGCTCACGAGCACGGCGGGGTCGGGTGTCACGAATGGACAGAACGGACATCGTTCCGGCTGCATGCGGACAGGAGCCGCCGGGTACCTTGCCATTTGGCGGGGCGTCACCGTCTGCACAAAGCCAGAGGCGGGCGCCTTCCGGCGGCGCAAGAGGGCACCGAGGAGGCCGACAATCACGACACCCACCACCGTCACCGCGATCGTCATCCACGTCTTCCACTCAAAGCCCGCCGCGGACGAGGACGACGAGGACGATGACGGCTGGCCGTCACCGTTGGGTGCCGTTGCGCCCGACGTGGGCGCCGTGCCACTCGGCATGTTGGACGCGACGGCGGACGATGACGCGACGAGCGAGTACGCCTGCGCGTTGGTCACGAGCACGGACGTGCCAGCGATGCGCGCTTCGACACTGATGCCGCCCGAGGCGCCCGACGATACTTTGGCCAGCGCCGCGTACGACACATCCACCTACGCCATTCATATCCACTACGTATCAATGTTTCAGCGTACCACTTCGACATTGTTGACCGTGTCGGGACCGTTGGGCGAAGCGATCGGGTAAAAGATCGTGGTGCCGAGCACCACCGAGAGGTCGAGGTTGTTCTGCAGCTGCGTCGTGGCGGCCATCGAGCCCGGCGGGTCGGTCCACACCTAAGAGTGCAGTTTTCAGTGAGCACTCGATAGAAAAGGTCGACGTACGAGCGTGACGCGAAGCGACTGCCCCGGCAGCACGGTGAAGCTGTACGTGTGCAGCCCGCCGTGGCGCAGCGTGGGTGCGCTCATGGTAGAGTTCGGCAGGAAAAACACTTTGGGCGTGGCGGACGCGCCAAACGACGCGATATTGGAGAGCTGCGGGAGCCCGTAGCCTTGGTTAAAGTCGGGGTACGCCAGCGGCGTCGCCGTCTGCTGCACAAACGAGCACGTCACGAGACCCCGGAGCGGCCCGATGCGATTCTTCAAGCCCGTCGCGCTATGGATCATGAGCGCCTTGATGAGCGAGGCCGGAATCGTCTTGAGGCCGTTCGAGACGTCGCGGGTCCCGGCCTTCCACCAGCCGTCGCGGAGCCACTCGTAGATGAGGACTGCGACGCCGGCAGCGACAGGTGTCGCCTACGACCCCCGCATCAGATACGACAACTCTGACAGGAAAAAATATATTTTGTACCTGGGACGTGCCTTGGAGCGGGCAGACTTGCGTCGTCTTGGTCGTCAAGCCGGCGGCGAGGCTCTGGGACGACGTGATCACTTGGCCGGGCGCCACGAGGTCCGGCTTCATGCGACCGTCCGATGTGGGGCCGATCGAGGAAAAGGACGCGACGCTGTTGGGGTTGAAGATGTTCGGGCAGTTGAGCGTCGAGGCCAAGCTGGCCACCGTGTTCATGGACGCGCCAACGCTACGCCACGCGAGATCATTAAGCGCACTGCAACCACGAGAACGCATTATTACCTGAGCACGTTCTTGGCGCCGGCTGGCGAGCTGATCGAGCGCGGACCTTCGTCGCCCGAGTTGCCGGCCGCAATCACAATCAGTGTTTCGGGGTTGGAGAAAATATAGTCGTCGAGATCCCGCGCTTGCTAAAGGTGGCTCGTGAGTGGTGGCGATACAGTGCCGAGGGTCCTACTTGGCTGTAGTCGTCGCCGTCGGTGCCCCACGAGAAGGAAAAAATCTTGGCGCCTGCGCGCACTTGGTTGCGGAGCAAGTCCGAGACGTCCGACGGCGTCTGGAGGCTCACGGGGCAGTTGACGTTCGGGAGGTTGGCGCACCGCGAGCTCTACATCCACAGTGGTACTGTCTCTGGCGACAACACGTCGTCCATACCTGCGTCCCAATGTCCATAAAGGCCACTTTGGCGTTGAAGGCCACGCCAAGGTTGGGCTGCGATTTGCTCAGCGAGCTACCGAGTAGGATGCCCGAGACGTGGGTGCCATGGCCGCACGTGATGTTTTCGGATTGATCAAACTGGTCGCCAAACGCTTCGTATGAGACGACCTATTGCATTGATACATTGATACATTCACGACGGCTGGACAGTGCGGTGAGAGATGGACCTTGCGGTTGGTCGAGACAATTCGCCCAAACGGCCTCGCGCCGGGCTGGTCAAACTGGTCATGGTCCAAGTAGAGTCCGGTATCAGTGATGCCCACGGTGATGTCGTTGCCCGAACTACCGGAGCATTGAGTCTGTGGATCCATCGATCGATCCTAGTAGTGCCATACAAACGTACATGCCGTAGCTCTGGGCCTCGGTGACGCCAACGACAATGTCGGCTTGGGCATCGAGACGGCGCAAGATGGGCGGCATGGGCTCGGAAAAGTGGCGCGTCGGCGCAAACGCAGTGACAAAGACGACTGCGTCCTGGCGACTGAGATACGTTACCACGTTCGACCAGACCTTGAAATTACTGAGCGACGGCACGTAGAGGCTCTTGGGCGAGTGCCGCGTGAGCAGGTCGTCCGAGATGATGCCGGTGAGCTGCCGCAGACCCGCGTTGAGTTGCGCGATCGTGTCGTCGCTCACGGGACCGAGGAATCCAATCTCCATCGGCGGCGCTTCGGATACAACTGCGCTGACGCTGCGCGCAAACGGCGTCAGCTTCATGAGCGGTGGCAGCGGCAGGACGCGCTGGGTGCAATTGAGTTGGTGGAGCGCGTTGGCGGTCGACGCGTTGGCATGCACGAGCACCAGCGTGCTGCCTACGCACCCACGACGACGCGTCAGCAACCATTGAGCCCAACACAAGGCGATGGCTTCGTACCAGAGTCGTTGCCGTTGCTGCGGCTGAGGAGGCGAAGGAACGGGTCGGCGCGGTCGAGCACCGCTTGGATTTGGGGCACGCATGCGACCTCGGTCGCGCAGCGCTCGATCTGGACGAGCGTGGGCACGAGGCTCGTTGGGTCTGTGCTGGCGTTGGTCGGCGACAGCGACGCCAAGTGGCACGCCCCTAGCACGGGGTTTTCGCCGCCGACCATGGCGTCGACGGCGGTCTGAAAGTCGTTTAGGAACGATGCGAACGAGAGGCCATCGTCGCTTAGCGTGAGCGAGACGCTGAGGTTGGCGCGCTGGCACGTGATAAAGTCAATGGGCGCGACAGGCACAGGCCCACTGCCTTCTTTGAGAAGCCGACTGGTGCTGCAGCGGGCAGCGCAGTCGGTGGCCGGCGACAGCGTGTACGGGCTGCAGTGGTAGCTGCAGTAGGCCTCGGTCGACGTGAAGCGCCACGGCGCGGCGAGCGCGGCGGCGCCAGCGAGGGCGAGGACGAGGAGGCGGAGCATGGCAACTTGTGCTCTGGCAAGCCGGCCGTGTGACACGGTGGACAGTTGGTGAAATTTTAGTGTTTCAATAGAGGGTATACAAACAATAGGCTATTATTTTACAATCACAAAAACACGGTTGATTTTCCCGGAATAACGTGCTATATACGGTGCAAAGTCGGAAAATCCGTTGCGACCAAGCGTCTCAAATTGGGCGCAGGGCGACGTCGCTGGAAGACCAACTTGAAGCGGTATGCTATGCAGAGTCACACGGTGGACGAAGCACTGTTTCATGCTTCTCACGTGGACACTTGGCAGGCGTTGATCGAAAGCGCCCCCACGTTGTTGACCGGCGCAAAGGTATTTTGATATGCCAGGGTACATGCGCTGCGGGAAGCAACAACGCTGCTCGCTGAGGGTCACAGGACTCCCGCTACTTTTGCCCACCGTCCATGTATCGGTGCTTGCTTCCTATTGGGGACGTAGCGTGTTTATCAACGGCGCGATGGATTCCTCAGCGACATGATCTGCTTGCTAAAGTCATTATAATATCATGTCTGACATAACCAGGTCGTTCAGCTCGGCGTATACGCATGCAAGGGTCTGTACACAGTGTAAAGGCCCTCGACACTGCTGTTATCACGAGGTAGACGTCGCATAAAGATAATTTGCTATTGAGATAAGATAAGACATGCATAATACGACGACACAATACGGAAGGAGCGTCGTCTTGAGGCAGCGGGTTGTCACGCGTTGATGCTGTTGCTCGAGTCCTCGTCGCCGACATAGCTGTCGTTGTTCGAGATGTCCGCATCGTTGCCCGTGTCGTCCATCGAGATGTCCATCGAGTCGTCCATCGAGACGTCCATCGAGATGTCAGCTTTGTTGTCGCCGTCCATCGAGATATCGCCGTCCATCGAGATGTCGGCGTTGTTGTTGGAGCTGCTGCTGATGCTGGCATCGCTCGAGACATCCATGAGGTCGTTGTTGCCGAAGATGGACTCGCGCTTCTCGAGCTTGGCGAGAAGCAGCTCGCGGTACGTGACCATCGACGCCTCGAGGCACCACACGACGGGGCCGTCGACGACAGAAAAGCGCTTCAAGCCGCCAAACACCATCTCCGGGTTCGCCTTGAGGACGTAGTCTTGGAAGGCATCACTGCCCGACTCGACGTCTTCCCGCGTGAGCCCCGACACGACGGACTTGAACTGCTCGAGGGCAAACTTGGTCGTCTCGAGCCCGGCCTCGGTGACGGCAGCGGTGTCGGGCGAAACAACCGAGGTCGCGACAAGCGCATTGGTGAGTCCGCCGGCCCACTCGAGCCCGCGCTCGGCGTACGGGATCAAGCTGCGGATGACCTCGCGCGTGACCGAGTCCGCTTCGATCTGGATCGGCTCGCCTTCCGTGGCCGGGCGACGCGTCAAATCGTCGACAAAATACGCGTAATATGGCCCCTTGTACCCTTTCGGCAGCGGCGCCGGCTTCTTGGAGCCCGGAGAGAGGACCTTGTCGGTGAGAATCACTCTCGGAGGAATGAGGGCGCTTGCCGCCTACGCACATATGCGTCATGAGCGACATCAACCATACGAGGCACACGTACCGCAAGCAGCGTCGTCGACGATGCAAAGTGCAGGCGCAGCCCTTGCTCCGTGAGGTCTTTAATGTCCTCCGCGCTCTTGAGCGTCAACGTTTCCAGGCGCAGCCCTTGCTCCGTGAGGACTTTGATGTCGTCGGCGTTCTTGAGCGTCAACGTTTCCAGGCGCTGGACACTGGCCTTGATCTCGTCGACGCCCCCCGAGACACTGAGCAGCGCCAGCGCATGCGCGGCCATCGTGTCTTCTTGCTCCGCGTGCGCGGCCGCGAGGCCATCAACCTTGGCGTCCGTGAGCGCCTGCGCGGCTGCGAGGCCATCAATTTTGGCGCCGATCTTGGCGTCGAGCGCCGCATGCGAGTGCAGCAGCTGTTCGAATCCCGCCTTCTGCGCCGCTTGCAGGCTCTGGAGCACAGCCTCGAAGGCAGCCGGCTTGGTCTCGAGCTCCTGCTGCTGGACCACCGCGCTAGCGGCCGCTTGACGGCCCGCACGCTTCTTGATCGTCATCTTGACTGGGGGCGAACACCCGGTCTTCGTGTTCACCATCGTATCGAGGCCCCGCTTCCCAGCTACACTCGTCCCGGCAGGCTTCTCCCTATGCGTCCACTACATACATACGCGCGTTTCGACATGGAGTCTTACAAGGCGTTGCGTCTTGGCGTGGCGGCGGCCGCCTGCGCGCGCGCTGCCGTTGCCGGAGGCTTGTGATCCGAGTTGGGTCTGTCACACGCAATTGAGTGTATCGGGACAATCGCTCGCCATGCGCCGTACCCCGTCTCGTTGGCGCCAGCATTGACGACCGCGTTGATGGCTTTGCGCATATCGACGACACTAGTGTACATAGGAACCGGATCGATCGAGAGTCGCTGCGTACATTTGCTTGGCTTGTGCATAATCAACGCCAAAGATGTACTGCATGGCCGCGCGTTCGTCGGCCGAGAAGTCGATGTCTTCGAGCTTGGCCACGACGTCGGGACACGGCGCACGTGTCGGCGCACGCTCGCGAATGGTGCCCTTGTGGATCATGACGAGGTCGGTGAGGGGGAGGGGATTGAAGGCGCGCGTCAACTTGTAAATGGCATCGGGCCCAGCGGAACCAAAGCGTGGTGGCGCTCCGTGCATCTCGGCCATGGCGCTACTACCGGGTACTTGCGAGATAATGAGCAAGGAGCGGCCGTCGGTCGTGCCCGGGGTCCGTTGATACAAATACCAAGTACGCGGCCACGAAAGGTACTACTTTGTCTTTCTCTCCGCCGATGGCCAACGATCAGCGAAGCTTCGTACTAAAAAGAGTCTGGCACCAGAACGAGCAAAAGAGACCGAGCTCGTACAGCCAAAGACGAAGACGTTGGGGAACGCGCCGAAACGTGTCGGCCGTGTACAAGGCGATGAACGAAGCGTTCCACGCTACTACGCCCATACTAGCAGTACACAGCACAGCATACGCTCCCTCGTATTTACTAGCGGCGCCGCGCCGAGGCTCGTCGCTGTACGACAAGCATTGCTGTTGAAGGATGCCATCGGGGTGTTGCACTCGTCTCTTTCTTGCCAATGCGCGAGACGATGGGATTGGCCGCCTTCTGCTGAGCACCATCATTGTGGGTGGTCGTTTTGTTCCGTCTTGGGCGCAACCACCGCGTCGGGGACCCACGTACAGTGTACGACTAGTACACTGTGCAGTAGCGTTCTCTCATGTTGATTGGTCCGGTTGCCAACACGGCAGTGTGATTGGCGGAAAACACGTTTAATCCAATGACTGTGAATTTGTATGAAAAAAGGACCAAGAGGCGGCGGCTCGTGTCGACGACGGAACGTGGCCGATGCTCTGTCGTCGCTCGCTGCCGTAACATACGTTTGAAGGGAATTTCAGCTTAGCCCCCTTTTGTCACGCATGGGGCTGAATTTGTCCCGCGAGGGGCAAATTCCCAGATTTGGTCCTCCGGTATCTCGCTTGTTGTCTGCTGCGTGTGGTATTGCAGTCGTGCGACCCGGGACTTGTGGTGAGCGTTGCATCACGAAGAGTGTAATAACAGGTCCCGTGCGTCGTTTTGGCGTGTTTCAAGGACCCATAAACACGCCTAAACGAGGTCCGCCGAGTATACCGATTCGAGTAAAAGTCACAATAGTACGCACCTTGACTCGTGTGTCGCGATAACAGCGTGTCCGACGGCGAGACCTCCGCGGGCTGCACCGCTTCGTGCCGTATTCTTCTCCGAAATTAGTGCTCGATGGAGGTTTAGGGTCCGTGCCCCGCAGATACGTCTAGACGGACAAGGAATCTCGACGGTGCGTCATTGTAGTGAACGCGCCCGCTTCGCATGTTCGAAAGCGAGGTCTCGGAGTCGCAGAGGGCCATGCGCCCCGTCAATTTGAAACGATTCGCCAGCAGCATACCTGGACCTTCTCTCGACCGAGATCGTCGTGCTGCTACTCCTTCAAGGGTACCAGCCTTTCTGCTCGCATGCATCTCTCATGACACGTCTTGCGGAATGTAGAGACCACTGGAGCGTGACCATGGTCTTCCGTCTCAACACAGCTGCGGCAGCGCCGGCAAGGATAGTCTTTCTCGACACGTACGACAGTCGGCACCACGAGCGCACGATTCACGCCCACGTGCGCACGTTTCTGTCAACTGTGCATCGCAAGAGCTGTCCGCACAGTCGGCAGCCGCTGAACGAGAGTGAGGTCTACTTCAAGATGCCATTGCAGCGCAACCCCAACGACAGTGGCATCTCGATGCTGCTCTACGTGCAAATGGCGCTTCTCGCGTACAGCCAAATGCGATCGGCACGCAAAGACTGCAACAAATCGCCTGACGTCGATTTCGATACGTTGCGCGCTTCGTTCCAACATACAGTCGACAACGTGGTAGAGATGGTTGACGAAAGACGTCAAGCGATGCTCGAGGCGCTCCGAGACTCGGATACAAACGAACGAAATGAACTAGTACACAACATCTCCATTTGATTAGAGAAGCGTGGGTTGCTTGCAGTCAATTGCAGCCACCCCTATGCTCTGCGTGATGACTTACAAGGCGATATGGAGCACCAGACTGCGTGCGATCGATGTGTCGTCATGATGTCGCTCGTGTTAAGCGCCAATCAATCAATCAATTAATCCATCAAACGTGTTCGCGTTGAAATCAAATTAGCAAAAACTAACTCAAAGATTTGGCATACGTAGTGCTACGCCTGAATGTGTGGGAGTGGGCACCAGCACTTGGTCGTTGGGAGTGAGCTGCGCACGGAGAGATCCATCCCGTGGTGGACCCCGCTCGCCGAGGGATATCTCGCGCGAGGTCGTACACAGGCTCCTGTACTCGGACCACCCGACAGAGGAGTGGTTGCTGTAGTACGTTTGATCGAGTCGTTGTGCGTGCCGCTCAAGGAGGTGCGCGCTGGCCAAACCACCGCCATGGCCGTGCACTGCGTCAACAAGAAGCTTGTGCTCAACCGCGCGACGTTTCGAGAAGGCATGGTGCTCGTGTCGGCGAACTGAAGCGTGCTCCCATTCATTTCGCACCGGTATATCCGGGCCATTTGAACAAGTGCCCGCTTTACACTGCTGTGAGCTCGTGCTGTGACGATCGCTTTTCCGGTACAGAGTGATGGTCTGAAACGCAAAGTGTGCGGAGTGTTTGTGGTTCCTTGGTCGGAAGTGCTTGAGCTCGACAATTGTTTGTGCCATACAGAAAGCATATATGTGCATCCGAGGCCGTAGGCTTTAGTCCATTTGGGTCGATTGGCTACTTGCCCCTCCCTTGCCTTTCGGTGGGTTTGAAGGTGGCCCACGGAGGTTTTAAGCCAATGAGCACAGAGCCTTCGGCATCTGGAGTGTTTGATTGGCCTATTTCCACATTGCCGTTCCTACTGACGCCCACAACTAAATCCGCGACCCCGTGACGACCCTTACTTTGCCCGCTCGCTCGCCGATGCCTCGTCCTCTGCGACGCTGGCTCGTGCGAGCCCCACACGCCGCAACTGCTTCCGTCATGCGCCTTTAGCGTACGAGCTGCTCAAGGAAGCCACGTAACTGGTGTCTGGTGTCCGCGCCGACCGCGTCGTCCTCAAACTGGGGACGGCCCTGCCGGCGCACCCAGCACATGACCGACACGGCTTCAAGGTATGACCATTCAACATCCTACGGCGCAAACTATTAATCTGCGCGTAGAAGAGCCCGTCGTCGCGTTCCCGCGCCCCGCGCCAACAGCTGGCGCCCATGACGGCGTGCTTCGGTCGGAGGACATCCTCCTGCTGATCGCAAGCTACTCCAAGGGCGTCGGTCGGAAGACCTCCTGCCGCTCATTGCGAGCTTTTGCAGCGGTGTATCGGAGGACGTGTGCGCGCTCCGTCGGGCCTGCCGCGGCTGCTCCGTGGCCGACGCCTTCCACGCGCTCTTCAAGCCGTGGTTCGCTCGACGGGGCACGTCGGAGCTCCATCGACTGTGCCAGGTGCACCTCTTGGTGTACGCGATCGACTTTGAAGACATGGAAGTGCTTCGATGGCTCGCGGCAGAGCACCGCATCACGGCCCAAGCGAGCCACCATGGCAACCATGCCTCGAAACTCGAGCTCCCAACGGCGTCCACGTACCGCTGCCCCGATCTCGTGTCGGTCTACTATTGGACCAACGGGTCGACAACGATCTACACGCACCGCCGCATCGTGCGCAAAGCGGCGATCCGGAACCACGTCGACATCCTCCGCATGTCGTTGGACCTCGGGTGCGGCATGAACTTTATCTGGGAGGAGGCTTGAGCACAACGGCTTCAACAAGGGGACGATCGAAGCCGCGGTCCAGAGCGGCAACCTCCGCTGCGAGCAGCAAGCTCAAGATTCTGCGCTGGCTCGTCAAGCAGCCGAACGCGACCCAGCACAATGCACAAGGTGCTCGAGTCCCTCGCAGCACTTGACGGCAGAGGCAAGCGCTCAAGATACGAGGGCGGTTGCATGGATAGCGTGCAGAAGGCGGCATTCGACCAGCTGCTGCACTCGCATGCGGCGCTCGACGCCAAGATTGATGGCGCTGCTCAGTGTCTCGGGGGCGTCGACGAGATCAAAGCCAGTGTCCAGCGCCTGGAGACGTTGACGCTCAAGAGCGCCGAGGACATCAAAGACCTCATGGACACGATCCTGCCTCCGGGCATTTTAACCCCGGCTCGACTGAATCAAGCAGTCGACGCCGTGGGCTTACTTCAGCAAGACGGACAACAAACGACTTGATACATTCCACACATGCGTCGTGGTTTCAGTAGTGTTTATATCATAATGGAATTGTGTTTGCTTGTCCATCAACTTGTCCTTTATCTCTCTAGTAGTCGAAAAGAGTCGAAGCGCAGAGCCGGTTAACTAGCAGATGCGATCGCAACCAGTACGGCGCGCCACGTTCCGTGCGAATCTGTGGGTTGGCGTCCAAACTAGTGGTAAGCGATGATTCGTCAGGTTTCCTTGACATCCAACGACGCCTCGATAGTGGCTCCAATGATTTGCAATTGGTGGCGCGTCGGCCCGAAAGCCTGAGCAAGAAATTCGATGGCGCCGCGGCTGCCAAGGTCGTGCCCGTCCCCAAGATCATTGCGACCGGCGGTGCTTGGTAGCTATTTGTACGCGCCTTGAATCATCCGTCGCGACAACAGCCTCTCCGACGGCGAGACCTCCGCTGCACCGCTTTGTGCAGTATTCTTCTCCGAAATTAGTGTGCTATGGAGGTTTAGGGTCCGTGGCCCGCATATCGGGATACATATAGACGGACTTTGCACCAGGAATCTCGACGGTGCATCATTGTCGTGCACGCACCCGCTTCGCATGTTTGAAAATGACGCCTCGGAGTCGCGGAGGGTGTCAATTCGGCTTGCATGTCTCTCACGTTCTCTGTTCCAACGACGTTGCGGCTGCCAGCACGAGACTCTGTCTTGTATTTCTACATGCTAAACAATCCAAATATTCTCTTGAGACCCATCGTCGTACTACATTATTGCATTACGACGCGTCCAATGACGTTTACATGGCTGGAAAGTCCTTGAAAAACTCGATCGAGATGCGCTCGAGGTGCACGACGACTTCGGCCATGCCCGCGATGAAGCCCGTCTCGTGGTACGGAATGTCGTACTGCTTGCAGAGCGACTTGACGAGCACGTTGAGCGCCGGGAGGTTGTGCCGGGGCACCATCGGGAACAAGTGGTGGTCGATTTGGTAGTTGAGGCCGCCCATGAACCAGTCAATCCAGACCGACGACGTCACGTTGCGCGTCGAGAGCACTTGGAGCTTCCAGAAGTCGGGCTTGCTGTCCTTATCAAAGACCTCCATGCCGTTGTGGCCGACGCTAAAGACCATCGCGAGGAAGAGGCCGCACGACGCCTGGCTCACAAAGAGGAACGACAGCGCTTGCAGCAGCGACATGTTGGCGGCGTACACGAGGCCGAGGTTCCAGCCATAGTAGAGCAGGAGGCCGGCGCGCTCGAGCAGAGGGTACTGGACCTTGTCAAAGGTGCCACCAGGCCCAATGTTGTAGAAGGCGTACATGGCCGACTGGATCACCCACGAGATGCGCGCAAAGAGCAGAATGGGAAAGTACAAGTACGCTTGGTAGCGCATGAAGAAGAGACCGACGGGCGAGTCGACGGCGTGCTGCGCCATCTTGAGCGACCACGCGAGGATCGGCATCGTGTCAATGTCCGGGTCGCCGTGGAAGGCGATCTCGGGCGTCGCATGGAGGTTGGGGATCGCGTGGTGGGTGTTGTGCTTGTTCTTCCACCACTGCACCGAGAAGCCCTGCCAGAGGTTGCCGACCATGACGCCGACGAGGTCGCCGTACAAGTGGTTCTCAAAGACTTGGTGGTGCAGAAAGTCGTGCGCGAGCCAGCCGCACTGCTGGTAGAAGAGGCCAAGGATGACGGCCGCGACCATGTACATGGACGTCGAGTCGAAATGGAGGCAGATGGCCGCGGAGACGAGCGCAATGCTCAGCGTCGAGACGCACTTGTAGAGGTAGAAGAGCTTGCTCGAGTCGTACAACCCAAGGCGCTTGACCTCAAGGCGCAGCTTGCGGTACGACGCAATGAAGTCCGACTGGCTCTTCTTGACGTCGTCCGAAATCGAGCTGTCGACGGTCGCCGTCGACTGGTCGACATCGCCGACGTAGTACTGCTCGAGCAGCTTGAGCGCCGAGCTCGGGTGGAAGACGGCGAACGCATCGGTCGCGTCTTCGCCGGCCTGCGTGAACATGACGACGCCGCCCGGGTGGTCGTGGAAGGCCGAGATGTCGTACACCTTGTGGTGGATGACGATCCACGCATTGTCTTGGCGGCTGTGCTCGCGGATGGTCGCCCACGAGATCTTCTCGGCCTTTTGCCCCTGGACCATCTTGCTGCTTGGCGAATCCACGAATGGCCTCCGTCTACCCATGACCCAATCTTGTGTCTTGTGACGCCAACATGGCCATTCCCTTATTCCAGTACATTGCATTGCGATCCACCCAATGGCCTTGCGAGCATGCCTGTCAAGTGTACTCAATTGTGCAATCCGCTGCCATCAAGTGAAACGTCTGGTTCGACCCGGCGACCGTCCTCTTGTACGGGTAAGCTCGAAGATTGTAAGAATAATGTACGAATCGGTCGAACATTACGCAATGTACGTACGGCACGCCAATCCGACCCAGTGCGTCGACGGTCGTTGTCACCACGGACGCCTGCCTGCGTCATCGATGGAGCCAATCAGCGACGGACGCCGTGTCTCTGCACCGCGTACGATGACGAAGCAGTTGGATTTGGCGCCAACGTGGATGGTGCTATGAAGCCCATGGAAGATCGCAATGGCTTCGAAAATCCAGCCAAGCATTATGTATTGGCTGCTAGCTTGGCCACTAGAGTTCTTAGCCGGACGTGAACGGTGGCTGGAGCTGTGGGGCTCCCGAGCATGAACCGCCGATGCTGATGATGATACAACATCTGCATAGACAAGAGCGTCGACGTAGCAGGCGGTACGGTGCTGCTGCATGGCCGTGCGCGGCAAGTCGTTGGGTCCACCCATCGTCCAATATCCAACTCTATCGACCGTCAGGCGCTGGTGCAGCTATAGAGTCCTGTCTGTGATGTCTCGAAATGTAGTACATAGCAGAGCAATGGCTCCAAGTCTTGGCAACAACGCTGGAGCAATGGAAGCACCGTGCACCGCACAGGCCACTTGCATCCAAGCGCCTGCAAGCTACTGCTACGTTGGGCTACTCGTTGCATGGATCCTTGAAGAATGGTGGAGTGGTCCCCATTCAAACACCAAGCGATCGTTGGTTGATACTATCATCTTTGCACCAAGCGACTCGTACGTGCCTACGCGTGGCGGGTCGCGTACGCTGCCTCGGCGGCCTTGACTTCGTCGTCGAGCTGGAGCCAGCTCTCCTTAAAGTACTCGCCCGAGATGACGCGCTTGGCCATCTCGAGCTTGGGTTCCTTGTGCTTGGGGTTGTTGCAGAGATCGATGGTTTTGGCGCTGGCCTTCGACTCGTCGCTGCACCAGCTCTCGCACCAGAGCCACTCTTGCGGCAGCGAGTGGATCGGGATCTGGTGCTGCGCATAGTTGGGTAGATCCTGGTCCAGATTCGAGAGCGAGTTCGGGTCGGCGCTGAGCTGGTCGTACACGGCGCGGAGCGTGTCGCCGGCCGCCATGCGCCGAAACTTGACCAAGTCGACGACGTACAAGGCCGAGATGTGGTACGGCTTCCCGCGCAAGTGGTCCTTCCAGTAGCCTTGGCGCCAAAACTGGAACCCGACGTTGCGCGAGTCGCAAAAGGGCGTGTACGCATACGGCTTGCCGTGGAGGTCCATGTGCCAGAGCTCCTTCAAATCGGCGCGCACGACTTGGTCCGCGTCCACGTAAATGATCTTTTGCACACCGAGCGGGAAGAGCACGTCCAAAAACAGAATCTTGTACCTACAACCAGAGTTTAGATTGTACTGCATATCTGGTAGTATGATAGACCCCCAGATAATGCGCTGCTTTTCGGTTTGCCGGCGCAACCAGTTGGGCCACTTGTACGTCACGAGGCGAATGTCCATGCCAAACTCGGCCTGCAGCGCCGGCACGCTCTTCTTGAAATCTAATGACCACCACATGTGAGTTCTACCATCTAGAATCTAGAATCTGGGAGTACCTGGCGACAAGAAGTTTTCCAGCAACCAAAACGTCACCGGGTTGTTCGTGCGCTTCAAGACACTGAGCATCATGAGCTTGAGCATGCGTTCGTACAGATGCCCTACATCATATCCATATTATCGCATCCACATATCACATCGGTGCATGGACATACCGGTCGCGACCGAGAAGACGTGGATCGTCTCGCCACGCCGCGTCGCCACCGCATCCTTTGCAGGCTGCTTGGTGCCCCACGAGACGAGCGACTTCCAGTACGACTGCGTCGCTTCGTCCTCTTCCTTCTTCTTCGCCGCCGGCTGGTCCTCGGGCTCCTCCAAGAGCCGCGCATACTCGAACCCGGGTCGCTTCTTGACGTCGAGCTGCGTAATATCCGACGAAAAGTCGTACACGACGACGCGCGCGTGGTCGGACGCGGCTTGGTCGACCATCTCGTACAGTTCGGACGCACGGCCCTTGGCCAGTTCGAGGCGCCACACGCCCGGCGTCGCTTGCAGCTGAAAGTACCCGAGGTTCTTCATGACGACCGTGTCGCGATGAAGGACGTCGGCGCCGGCCGTGCGCTCGAGGATGAGCTGGAGGCCGTTGGGCGGCGACGGATGGTACGCCATGGTGCGGTCAATGCACTGGCCGTACACGAGCAGGCTCTGCACGGCATAGCGCGCCGTGGCGTCGCCTTGGATGTTGTCGACGTCGGTATCCGAGGCCACCATTTGCACGTTAAAGAGCTCAGGCGTCTCGACGTTCATCGTGAGCACGGGCGGCCGGGGCAAGACACGGAACGAGGGCGCGCTGCCCCACGCGTAGCGGTAAAACCGCTTGAGCGGAAACTCCGTGTAGGACGGCGTCGGCGTCAGCACCAGGGTGATCTTGGCGCCGAGCACGTCGCGCAGCATGCGCAAGACGACGCTGGCGCGCTGAGTCGCCTCCGAGAGCGGGTCGAGGTACGCGATGACGTCCAAGAGGCTGCGACTGGCCGCGGACGTTGCAAATGTCGTGTGGCGGTCGAGCGTCGGAAAGACGGGGCCGGTCCGCGGCGTCGCCAGGTAGGCGTCAACGACCGCAAGCAGCGTCTGGAGGCGCTGGCTCATCGTGGCCGCGGCCTCCACCGAGAGCGCATCGCGCTTCGTCGGGGCAGAGAAGGCGCGGGCAACGGCCTTGCTGCGGTGCTCGCCTTCCCACTGCAGCAGCACCGAGAGAAGCGACGGCAAGAGCGTCATATTGTCGTCCAGAGACAGCGGGCGACCGTTGATGAGCAGCGTCGGGCTCGTCATCGACAAGAGACTCGGCAGCGGGTGCGTGTACGCAGGCGTCTCTTCGAGCCACTGGAGGAGCTCGTGCAAGCGCGTCTCGTCAGGGCTCGCGTCAAGATGGACTTGCACGAGCAGTTTGGCGTGCAAGACAATGTCCGACTCGGACTTGGCCTTGCTCAAAAAGCGCAAGATCTAGACCTCATTTGTTTCGATTCAGAAGGAACCGCAAGGGCGCGCACCTCGAGCACAATGGCCAAGTACCGCGCATCGTCCAAGTCGGAAAGGGCATGGAGCATGTAGCTCACGCGCGACCCGATCGACGAACGCGACGTGCCGAGGTGCACGAGGCTCAGGCGCACGTCCGGCGTTTCCATCGTCGTCTTGAGCGCGTTGTAGGCGCTCCGCGCGCCCGCTGGCGTGTCCAGATCGACCATCTACATGCCAGAGATGCTTCACACGCCCATTGTACACACAAACATGTGAGGTACCAAAAGAAGGCTCTGACGCTTGGGCTTGGTCGCCGTGTGCGGCATGTGTAGATACGTGACGTCGTCCCAGACCTAGAAACGTGCGTCGTCGTGCCCGTTTGGAAAGGACTCGTACCGACGACGTCAAGTGCAAGTCGAGCACGGGCACCGTCTGCGACGGATCCAGCCAGCTCGAGTAGACAGGGTAAAACCCTTCGTGCGCGTACAGCTCTTCCAGCAAGTCGGCGTCGTCCGAGAATTTCCCGGCGCGCGCGAGCTCTTGGTACAGCGGCTGGTCCCGCCCAAAGTGGGCCATGAGCCCTTCTTGGAGGTTCAGGTCGCGGCGCAAGACGCCGTTGAAGACATACGAGTCGAGCGGCAGCTGCGAGGCGAGCACAACGTCCGTCATGGCCCACACTCCGTCGTCCTGGCTCACGGAAAGGAGCAGGTCGCGCGCCGCCTCGAGCGCCGATCCACGGTCCAAGCGGTGGGTCACGGCTTGAACGTAGATGAGGAGCGCTTCCTTCACGGTCACGCCGCCGCCGAGCTCAACAATGCCATCCAAAAACTGCTTGGCCGCCTCGTGGCCGTGGTCCCGCGCCGCCAAGTAGAGCTTGGTCACGTGGTAGGCCGACGCGGGCGCCTTGTCATCGGTCGCTGGCACATAGGTCTCCCGGTCCTAGTGGCATGGTCCTCGTATGACGACATATCGGATCGACTAGTACCTCGGGTGCGAGCGCGAGCAGCTCGGGCGACGTCCAGAGCACACCAAACTGCACCGGTGCGCCGCGCAGAATCAACAAATGGATTTGCTGCAGCACGTTCGCCGCTTGCTTGGTCGTCGGATCGAGCACGAGAATGACTTCGTACATGACGCGGCGCAGAAAGATGAGGTTCCACGCCGGCTCGGCGAGCACCGAAACGTCGGTGGGCCACTCGGCGGTCATCTCGTCGCTCTCGATCGCGTTGAGATACAGCGGCGCCGTGCCATCGACGGGCCCACGGACGCGCACGCGCACCTAGCGATACTGGTCATGGTCCACGTGCTCGGAGCGCAGTATACCTCGCTGGCTTGCGTGGACAAGGTCGTCATGGCACTGTGGACCGCCGTCAGCGTCGTGTCGTCCAGCTCCAACGCCCGCAGCGCGTCGCCTTGCTGGACTTCGCCCGCGAGGAGCTTGACAAAGTCGAACGGATTGAACGTCACGTCGCTCAAATCGTGGACCATGCCGTTGACCACAATCTTGTTGAGAAGTTGCTATGCGACATGTCGTGTTGATACATTGATACAACACGTCGAGACAGACCTGCGTCGCGACGGTGCGGCGGGCGGTGGCCATGGCCGCAATGCGCTCGGACGGGATCGGCTCGGTCGTCAACGCGAGGCCCGACGCGTACTTGGGAAAGTTCTGGGCGAGTTGCTGGAGGCGCGCCAGCGGGTCGGTCGACGCCAAGATATCGCTGGCGGCCAAGTACCCGAGGTGGTTCAGTTGCCATGGCTAGCCCAAGACGAATTAGCGATCTGTTTTGTGTTGTGCTATGTCGTTGATACCGCGTCTTCGTTGTTTTCCGTCGCGTTAACGCTGCTAAAGTCTTCAAACTCGAGCTGGTATGCGCGCAGCGCAGGCCCGGTCTCGGCGCCTTTCTTCATCAGCACCGAGACAATGAATTCATCTATGATTGTGGGTCAATGTCAATGTCAATGTCCATCTCAATGTCAACGACGAGGCGGCTATTACCTTCGTCGTCGTCCGTCGGCGTGTGCTTGGAGTGCGGCGTCTTGGAGTCGTCAAACGACTTGTACTCCATGTTCTTGATGTGCAGCGAGACGCCGTAGCCCTGCAAATGCACGGGCTCCACGTTGTTTTGCGGTGCGTGGCGGACGATGTAGCGCACGGCCTTGGCCTCGGCGAGCGGCGCGAGCTTGCTATGGAAGGCGCGGAACGAGCTTGTCCCGAGCGTGCCGTACAAGAGCACAGTCGGCGCGTTGGCCACGTCCTTGTCAAAGACGTGGTCGACATGCAGCTCAAAGTCGTGCTCGCCCGACGCCGCGCAGCTCTAGAACGCATGTGTGAGAGGCCAACTCGTCTCTCCTTCTGCTGTACGGTATCGGTGGACGGCGTGAGCAAGGCGTTGTCCCAGTCGGACGCGGCGCAGACGACACGGGTCGCGCACCCTGTCTCGTGGTAGATGACCACCCACGCCGACGCCGCTTCGTACGCGAGGCCGCAGCCCTTGTACGCCGACTCGATGGCGAGCTACGCACGTGTTTTGAGCTACGAGATGCGTAGAGAACGCTCGGTAACCTGGTGGAACATTTCAATCTTGGGCGACTGCGCGCGCGTCTGGAGAACGAACGGCAGCAGCTTGGCGATCGTCGCGTCCGGCGGCAGCACGTCATGGGCGGCGTCCAGCGCAAGCGCCGTGTAGTTGATGCTATCCTTCTGCTGGATCGCTTTGGCGCGCATGTCGATCGCGTCGACGTAGCGGAAGAAGAGCGGCGGGTCGACCTCGGCGAGGAACGCCGACGTCTCGAGCACGGGGTACACGGGCGACGAGAGGAACGTGGTCGTGAGGTCGACGTCCACCTTCCTGCTGGCAGCGACAGTCATCGCCAGGACCAGCGCCATGGCCGCGGCAAGCCACCGGCGGGCGCAACCTGAGGACATCGCTACACGTCACCACAATCTGGAAATTGAACCGAGTCGTGCATACCGGTTTGGATCTGAACCGGTCGTGTAACCGGCTCATGTGGAACCGTTCTGTATCCGGACATGTTATCCGGATGACACGCATCGGGCCATGCATGCCACGCAGGCGTGGTGATGCGCGCGATACCTGGATCGAGTTCGTTCTGCAGATGAGAAACAGAATCAAGGAGTAGCATCGTTCTCGCCGTAGGCGGATGACGCCCGTCATGTATGTTCTCTGGCAGCTGAAAGCTGAAAGGGCAGAGGCCCCCGAATCGAGAGTGGGAACTTTGGTACATCCCCACCAACTAGTTCTTGAAACGTTGACGCCTCGCCAAGAAGAAGCTTGGGATGTGCTGGATCCCACCTCTTACCATGCTTACGCGGCGCAGTTGTGACTAGAATACTGCCTTGATGGCAACGGCTGGATGGAGTCAGGCCCGAACAATTTACGACCGCCAGTGGCTACCCTGGTACTTGAACGCCACGGACATTCTTACCAGCCCGCCAGCGTCGAGAGCTCATTTTCCAATTGTTGTACACCTCACCATGAAGCTTCTCTCGTCGTCGCTCGCCGTGCTCGCCTCGTCCGCCGTGCTCACCGACGCCCACGGCCGCCTCCTCACGCCGCCCCACCGTGGCTGGATCGGGCGTCTCCCCGATTTCAAGCACGTGCCCATCGACTACGACGACAACGGTTTGAGCGCCGGCGGCGTCGGTGTGACGAGTAAAGGACCCCATGGCACGTGCGGCGACCTCTACTCGAGCGCGACGCCCCGTGCGCACGAGAATGGCGGCAAATACGGCTTGTTTCCGACGTATGGCGCCAAGGCCATTGGCGGCTGCTACGCACCTGGCGCGACAATGAAGCTCGAGGTCCAAATCACGGCCAACCACAAGGGGTACTTTACGTTTGGCCTTTGCAAGCTCGACAAGCCATCGGACGTGGAGACGGAAGGCTGCTTCCAGCCGCTTGCGCAGCCCAATGGCCAAGACAAGTGGCCCCTACCGCCCGGCAACGACGTGTTCAAGATGCAGTACAACCTGCCGCGGAACGTCACGTGCGACGGCGACGCCCACTGCGTCCTGCGCTGGTGGTACATGGGCGGCAACAACTGGGGCGCCGCGGCCCAAGAGCAGTTTTGGAACTGCGCCGACATTTACATCAGCCACACGTGTGGCAAAAGCCCCACCATCTCTTTTCGCGATTAGCGGTTCGAGCCGTGGTTCAACCGCCTCCAAGTCATTTGAGCGAGCGAATGTGGATGACACACGTTGTTTCTCGTTTCCGTTGCGACGATGCACCGAGTTTTGAAACCTAGTATAAGGTAACACAGAGGTTTTTCTCAAGGCGTTCCTTGCCAGCAAATGCCCTTTGAAAGTGTTTCTTTTTTGATAGATTGTGGGATGGCGTGAAGGGACCCGTTTATGGCACATACGATGTAGGTGGCGGCTTTGACAGCAAGGCGACGAGATGCCACGTCGCTAGTCAAGGTTTTACTTCAACATTTGAGCGACTTGGGGTAGCCACCGGGTTGGCGGCGGCGATGCAAATGGTGGACAAGGCTCGTTCGTTTTTCATCAACAACATATAAGCCGAACGGGTGCGCTCGTCTCTCCTGCTGTACGTTTGAACGTACGAATATTATTTAAGTCACTTGGCCTTTCACAGAACACCGTGGCTCTGCCTGGGAATGGCTCTTCTTGGGTGGAGGAAGTACCCGACGCGAAACATCAACCGATGCCAATGTGGATGCGAAGTTTCTTCCGTGGTCACTATCCGTAGGCGTGTGCTGGCACCTCGATGGCTCTGGCAGCTGCTCTGGATGTGCTGGCTACTAGAGCTAGCATCGGCATTTCTGCAACCGATGGGGATGGCAAAGTACATGGAAGCAAAAAGGAAGCCGCGTGCTGCGTGCATCGTTGCGTTGGCTTCAACCCCAACCCTTTCAGAAACACCTACCCCGTGTGCAAGGTGGTACCCGACACCGTCGAGGTCCCACGGCATCGGGCAAGCGAGTCCGACGTGTGTTCATAGGAGCACTCGGCGACGTGCATCGTGATGGACTCAGAAGTAGTGTCATGCTCCCACAGCACCCTTTTCTACTTCAAGCCAGAAGACGCGCCATCTCGATCGAGACTCATTTTCCAATTGCCTCTGTCGGACGACCACCGTCTTTCACGATGAAGCTTGTTGCCTTGACGCTCGGTCTTGCTGCGATCCTCCACAGCGCGGAACCCCACGGACGCATGATCAAGCCCGCGCACCGCGGCTGGATGGGGCGCCTCCCGCAGTTCTCCTTTGTGCCCATCGACTATAGCGACAACGGCTTGAACGCGGGTGGCATCGCGGCCACGACATCCGGACCCCACGGTGTCTGTGGCGACCCGTATGCGCAGGCGGCGCCCCGCGAGCACGAGACCGGTGGCATCTACGGCCAATTCCCAACGTACGGGGCCCGCGCCATCACGGGCTGCTACGCGCCAGGTGCGGTCGTCGACATTCAAATCCAGGTCACGGCCAACCACATGGGGTACTTTACCTTTGGTCTCTGCAAGCTCAACGAGAAGAACGACAAGGAGACCGAAGAGTGCTTCCAGACGCTGACGCAGCCTGGTGGCGAGAAGCGCTGGCCCGTGCCGCCCGGCAACGACGTGTTCAAGATGCAGTACCAGCTCCCGAGCGGCGTCACGTGCGACGGCGATTCCCACTGCATCCTTCGGTGGGTCTACACGGGCGGCAACAACTGGGGCGCTGCGGGCCAAGAGCAGTTTTGGAACTGCGCCGACATTTACATTAGCAACACGTGCGGAAGTCCGTCGCCGGTGACTCCTGCACCCGCGGTACCGACCGTTGCACCTGTGACGCCTGCACCCGCGGTACCGACCGTTGCACCTGTGACGCCTGCACCCGCGGTACCGACCGTTGCTCCAGTGACGCCTGCACCCGTGGTACCGACCGTGGCACCAACGCCGCCGCCGTCGGAATTTTGCAAGGGCAACACCAACGTGTGCTTCTGGCCGCTGACAAACCAAGTCGTGCCGTACCCCAAGGACGACTGCATCCAGCAATCTGCGTTCGTGTGGTGCCCATAGCTTCCTCCACGGCGCCATCCGTGGCATTATTGTAGAGAAAAGGCTATAAAAGGCGTAATGAAATGGGTGTCCTTTACGTGACGCGATCATTGCTCGTAGGCTCGACTGCAAGAGGCAACCAATGCATTGGGACGCCGTGCTGCCGTTCCCACTATAGTGGCATCATACCTCGGCGATGGTCTTAAGGTCTTTATGCTTTGGCAAGGCCATGCTTCTGATTCCTTTTTCAGTCCTTGCTGCTTCTAGTACCGATAGAAATCTTTTCGTTGACCACGAAATAGATCTCGAGACAATCTGTGCACGACCAACAGATGTTGTGTACTTGACGGCGCGGCGTCCCACTGCTGATATCGGCGGCCGCACCGCCGGCGCCAAGAGTAGGAGGATGATGACGGACGATGTTGACGGGGATGCGGACCTTGAAGTTAAAACCTATAGAGGGACTATGATGCAGCGCCGACTCGACATCTCGTTGAACTTGGTCGTCTCTTTACACTTGCCCGTTCTCTCTTCGCAGCCCTTTCTCTCGTACCGGTACAGTAGCTCAATGGGTTCATCAATACCCATGGGGCATAGTGTGCACGCCACGGTTGCGCGACTGGCGGCAACAGAACGCGCGCAAATCAGCAACTTCTTCGCCTGAGTTGAGGTTCCCAGAATCACGTATGGATCAGATACAGGGCTCGGTTCGCAACCACAGCACTCGCAGCTCAGTGTGCAATTGACTTAACCACCATGAAGTCCATCTATCTCGGCTCGCTTCTCGCTTTTCTTGCCGTATCGGTCGACGCGCATGGCCGCATGATTGCACCGCCGGCGCGCGGGTTCATGGGCCGCCTCGACCAATTCAACTTTGCTCCGATCGACTACGACGACGACGGTCTCAGCGCCGGCGGCATCGGCGCGACAAGTGGTGGTCGTCATGGCGTCTGCGGCGATCCGTACTCGCAGGCGTCGCCTCGGGAGCACGAAACCGGCGGCAAGTACGGTCTGTTTCCCAAGTACCGCGAGCGCGCGATCACATCGTGCTACGCACCGGGGGCCGTCATTGACATTGACATTCAAATCACAGCCAACCACCGCGGTAGCTTCACGTTTGGCCTGTGCAAGCTGCACGGCAAGAACGACAAGGAGACCGAAGATTGCTTCGTGGACCTTTTGCAGCCGAATGGCAACTTGCAGTGGCCGCTGCCCGGTGGCAACAAGAACTTCCGCCTCCAGTACGCGCTTCCATCAAATGTCGAGTGCGACGGCGACGCTCACTGCGTCCTGCGGTGGGTCTACACGGGTGGCAACAACGCCGGTGTCGGGCCCGACGGCCAGGAACACTTTTGGAACTGCGCCGACATCTACATCAGCAACGCCTGCAACGGCACCAACCCGTTTCCGACACCCGTCCCAACACACCAGCCATCGCCGGACGATGGGTCTGGTGGCTACTACCCGCCGGCGCCGACCACAAAGGCGCCGAAACCAACGCTGGTGCCGACAGTGACTCCACGCCCGACAGCAACCACCGCACCGAGCACAAGTACGTCACCGCCAACAGGCGCGCCGGGGGACAAGTGCAATGGACAGAAAAACGTGTGTTACTGGCCGGCCTCACAGCAAATCGTACCTTACGGCAAGTCGGACTGCGCGCTTTTTAGCTCGTTTGTGTGGTGCCCGTAGTAGTCTAGCCGAGGCAGCTGCCGCGTCGCCAAGTAGTCCTCGCGTCGGTACCCTCGACTGAAGATAAACGACTTAATCATGGATGTTTAGCGAAAAACCACCGTTTTGACACCTCTTTTCCGTTACCAACCGGCTAAATGATGCACAATATTGTCACAATTCATTGGTCGATTAGTAGGTTGACTTCGACGGAACGCACTGCGAGTACCACGCGTCAAACTTTTGGCACGTGTTTCCTGTTGCGCAATGGGTATGGCCCGTGTAGTCCTTGCCGCCGCACTGCTCCCAGACCTTTTTGGCAGCATCATCATGGACGCTCGGCTTCTTCGTGTGAGGTTTCTTCGTGATAGGCTTCTTGGTTGGCTTGTGCGGCTTTGCGCTAGGCTTCACCGATGGACGACGTGTCGGCGATACAGGTGCGTCGTCGGGTTAGGCACGTTGCTAGGCGACGGCGTCGGGGCGTTTGTCGGCGCCGACGCGTGAGTGGGGAAAACTGGCGCCGGCGTCGGGTTCTGGCTGCTCGGCGACGGCTTCGGGTCCGACCCGCACGTGTCGCTGATGTAAATGTCGGCGCAGTTCCAGAACTGCTCCTGGCCGTTGATGCCGGCGCCCGGGTTGTTCCAGCCGACGTACCACCAGCGAAGCACGCAGTGCGCGTCACCGTCGCACTTGACGTCCGACGGCAGCTTGTACTGCATCTTGAAAAATCGTTGCCTGCCGGGAGCTGCCACTGCTTCTCGCCGTTGGGCTGCGACAGCGTCTGGAAGCACTCTTCGGTCTCCTTGTCGCCCTTGGCGTTGAGCTTGCAGAGACCAAACTCAAAGTAGCCCTTGTGATTGGCCGTGATCTGGATGTTGAGGTCCATGGTGGCGCCGGGTGCGAAGCAGGCGCCGATGACCTTGGACCCGTGGTTCGGGAAGAGACCGTACATGCCACCGGTTTCGTGATCCCGCGCGCCGCTGTACGGGTCGCCGCACACGCCGTGCTTGCCGCCGGACGTGCCACCGATGCCGCCGGCGTTGAGTCCGTGGTCCGAGTAGTCGGCGGGGACGAGGTCCTTGAACTGGGGCAGCTTGCCAATGTAGCCGCGGTGGGGCGGGAACACCATGCGGCCGTGAGCATCGACGTTGGAGACGGCGGCCGCAAGGAGGAGCGTCGAGACAATGAGCTTCATGTCGACAATGTGAGTGAAATTGAAAAGTGAGAAGTTTTCCAGACGCCAAGAGGCGAGGTTGTGTGGCAGAGGACGCAGTAACATTGACCTATCTTTCAACAGGTGCAAGGCAGAGAAGCTACCAGACTGTGTATCCCACACGAGCCGGCACAGGACAGGGCACAGGAGCTGGGTCATCGGCTGTCAGTGGTGCAACACATTGAGCGGTATCGTGTATCCGGGGGGCAATGTCTGGGGGGCATGGCTCGAGCAGTAATGTGGTCGAATGCCCCAGTATGAACCGACTCCGCACGGCAGCTATGTACAAGCTATTTCCGGCTACTACTACAGGTATACAACGACGATTACTTTGGTTGTTAGCTACAATAAAGATCGAGCAACATTTATTGGATCTTCAAGTGCTAGCCCTACCGTGCTATCCATGGTCACGTCGGTAATGTCGTAATTTGTGTTTGCCACAAATAACATGTTGGTCGCTGTACGCCGCTGCAGACCGCCAATGCCGACGAGACATAGCGTTTCGAGCTCTCCAAAGCATTCTCTATCGATGTGCCAGCTACGAAAGCTTTCATTATGAGACGCGATTTGGCCGGTCTGGGCGGCTGAACTTGAATGTTGTGTCGTCGATGGCGTTTCATCGCCCGTGATTGGCTAATATTTTGAAAAAGAGCAGCCAATGAAATGATATTACCGGCGTGTGCATGACGTTGCCAAGCCTGGTCGTCGAGATGGTATGGATGTCCACGGCGACGACGCAAGCATGTCCAGGCATTGCGTGGCGAGCTGCTCCGAGACCTCATGTTCCTAATGCGCTGTATCACATCGAGGTAGAACACGTCGCTGCAATGAATGCGGGACGGAACCGTGATCGCCAGCACTCATCGCGTGATCTGGAAGAGGCTCCAGAGAACCGCCATCGTTGCCTTAGTAGAGGCTGGCCAGATGCAGTGTCATCGTCGCCAAGCATGGCGAGGACATTATGACTATATCATCATCATGGTATACACAATTCATTTCTACATTTACATCGATAGGGTGCTAATCGTGTGCTTAGCGCAGGCGCTTGGGCACGCACTGCGAGTACCACTCGTCCTGCGTGACGCAGATGCTGCCGCCAACGCACTCGGTGCTGCCCGTGTAGTCCTTGCCTCCGCACTGCTCCCACGCCTTCTTGCCGCCGT